CATGAAAATACAGTATTTTTGGATTTTTATCTTTTACTATTTTACATCTACTGTTCACCATTATCCACAATTTTCAGCATCTGCAGGGGGGCTTGGAACCGATCCTCCATGGATGCAAGGGCCCTACTCTATGTGTGTGTGTCCTGTGACATCAAGTCAGAACTGACTTATAACTACTGTACTGTAATAGAGCTTTCAATTGAGATATTTTGTTTTACTAATTCTGCTTCCCCCAGCGAGTTTCCATGGCTAACTGGGAATTTGAACCCTGTTCTTCAGAGGCTCAGTCTGTCACTCTATCCACTACACCACACAGAGAACCCCAATCTGGTAAATACTGTACGTAGATTCAAAGGCAGTGATGGCCTAAGATCAATATTGTAAATGTATATTTATATCCAATAGGCTATGTATTTCAAAAGAGCTCTGCAGTCCAAGAGTTAAATTCCAATACTGCAGTCAAGGTTCTGCTCACAACCTCAGTTCAATCCTGATGGGTTCAGGTAGCTGGCTCAAGGTTGACTCGGTCTTCCATCCTTCCGAGGTCAATAACATGAGTTAGAACCAGCTTGCTTGGTGTGGTGGCAAAATGTTGCTTACCTAACTATGCTGTAAAAACTGTCCAGAGAGTGCTCTAGCACTATGGGGAGGTATATAAGTCAAAACAACAATAATAGTTTCTGAATCTCATCTTAATGAGGAAAAAGTTTATAACTGCAAAAGGCAGACCATACTGCATGGTTTATGTGATCTTAATGATGGATTGAAGAAAGTGGATTCTCAGGAGCTATATATAGAGAAACATCCTGTAAACGTGCATAGTCAAAGTGAAAAAAATCCTCCCACTGTATTCCAGAATAGGTTCCTGTAGCGTTCAGCCCTGCCGTCACCTGTCCGTCACAGCTGAGCAGTGGAAAGGGAGCCAATGAGTGAACGGAAGGTGGTGCTAAGGGGGGAGTGGCTTATATATAAAGAGGGGTGTATGGAGTATAAGGAAGAGTTTGAGAGTTCTGGCAGTCAGTGCGATTGTGATTGAGTGAGCCAGTGAGTCAGTGAGAGCAGGGTTCTGTGTATTAGTGAGTTCAGTGAGTAAGAGAAATTGATTAGCAACTTGTGATTTACCTATTACTTATTATTAATCAAATAAACAAGTTTAAGTTTCAAAGAAACACATGTTTCAGTGAGTAATTGGTATTGAAAAAGCAATACCTGGTGGCAGCAACTTGAGAAGAAGAGTGAGCACCTCCTGGAGGCTTGAGAGAATAGAGGCTCCAGCATGCTCGCGACAGTTCCTAATAATATTGTCTTCAGCGCTGGACAAATGGGTTGTCTTGTTCCAAACAAGAAATAAAATTTTGTTCAACAATTTTCTTTTTAAAGGAGGAGACACAGTGAGTATATCCGGTATACAAAATATTATTTATTTATCTCCTCTTAACTTGTATTTATTCGTCCCCTAATACTATTATTTTCTGAGCAACGTTCAAGAATGTAATCAAGAAATGGGAGAAGGCAGCATCAAATAAAGTCAAACCTAGTATCTGGACAAAATTTTAAAATCTGTTAGAAGCTATATTATTGCCATAAATGTTACAGTGTAACGCAACATTGGAGTAGGAAAAAAATCCATATTAAAAACCTAAAATAAGAAAAATGCCTTTGCTGGGTATCAAAAGATGCCCATATAGTTACCTGCAGGGTCTCCCTAGGAAAGCTTTCCACATCCAGTGAGTTAGCCATCTCTCTCTCCTTGCCATCCTCTGTACTTGAGACAATCCGGGCAATCCTAGAAAGGTTTCGGCTGATATTTTCAGCCGTGAGAAAATACACAATGTAATGGGGGTTTCCCCCTCCCACCAAGTACTGAGGCCACAAAGTGCACAGGACTTTCTGGGTCAAAACGGTAACTTCTTTCAAAAATGTTGTTATATGCCGTCAAGTCACCACCGATTTATGGTGACCCTTTGAATGAGGAATCTCCCAAATGTCCTTGTTTAGCTCTTGTAGACTCAAGCTTGTGGTTTCCTTTCAGGAGTCCGTCCATCTTGTGTTTGGTCTTCCCCTTTCCCTGCTGCCTTCTACCTTTCCCAGCATCTTTTCCAGAAAATCTGGTTTTCTTGTAATGTGCCTCAGTTTCAACATTTTTGCCTCCAGAGGTAGTTCAGACTTGATGTGATCTAGGACCCACTTGTTCGTCTTTCTGGCAGACCAAGGTATCCACAAAGCTCTCTTCCAGCACCATATTTCAAACAAATCATTTTTACCCTGTTAGCTTTTCTTTTTACTGTCCAGCTTCCACACTCATACATGGTGATCAGAAAGGCAAGAGTGTGGATGATCTTGGTCTTGGTTTCCAATGACACATCCTTATACTTGATGATCTTTTCTAATTTCTTCATTGCTGCCTTGCTTACTCTTGGTCTTCTTCTGATTTCTTGGCTGCATTCTCCGCGATGATTGAACCAAGGTACACAAAACTTCAAACTATTTCCATTTCTTCATTGTCAACACTAAAGTTGCGTAGTTTTTCTGTAGCTAAGATTTTGGTCTTCTTAGCATTCAACTACAGCCCTGCTTTGGCACTTTATTCTTTGAGTTTCATTTCAGGCCATGGCTGCTTTCTACCAGTAAGAGGGTGCCATCTGCATATCTTAAATTATTTATATTTCTCTCATCAGTTCTCACTCTTATACAGTGGTGCCCCGCATAGCGATGATAATCCGTTCTGGATAAATTGTCGCTATCCGGAATCATTGCATGTTTAATGAGTTCCTATGGGGAGAATTCACCATTATGCGAAGATCTTCCATCTGGCCGCCATTTTCGCTGCCTCGGTAAGCGAGGGAACTGCGCGAAAACACTGCGGGCAGCCATTTTGTTGACCCGGTGGCCATTTTGGAACTGTCGATCAGCTGTTGACAAAACATTGCAATGCAATCGCTTTTTAAACAGGGCACTCGTTATGCGAGGCACCACTGTATCTAAATCTAGTATGGCTTTTCATATTATATGTTCTGTGTACAGATCGAACAAAAAAGGGGAGTTCAAAATTAGCATTGCTGATTACAGTTTACCATAGAAAGGATTGCTGAAGCCTGTTAAAACTCAAAATGTTTTCTGCTTTCACCGAACCTCTTCCTACAAACTATGTAGTAGTACATTTTCTCTCATGTGGATTATTAGTGGAGGACAAAGATGGAAGCAAATATGTTTCTAGGATTTATATGGTTCTTCCCAAGTCTAACATATTTGGTAATCAGTTTTCACTGGTACTCTTTCAACCTTCCAAACCACGTCCCCATATTTTTCTAGTTTCTCCCCAGTGTGGTTTTTTTGATGCTGCCAAAGGTTTCCTTTTTGATTAAATCTCTTTCCACACTCCATGCATTCATAGGGTTTCTCTCCTGTGTGAATTCTTTGATGCTGTTTAAGATGCCCTTTATCAGTGAAATTCTTTCCACACTCCATGCACTCGTACGGTTTCTCTCCCGTGTGGGTTCGTTGATGCCGCTTTAGATTCCCTTTTTGACTGAATCTCTTTCCACATTCCATGCATTTATATCGTTCCTCTCCTATATGAGTTCCTTGATGTCTCATAAGATTTGAGTTCAGACTGAAACTCTTTCCACACACCATGCATTTATAGGGCTTCTCTCCGGTGTGAGTACTTTGATGCCGCCTAAGGTGCCCTTTCTGACTGAAAGTCCTTCCACACTCCATGCACTTATATGATGCCTCTCCTGTGTGAGTTCCTTGATGTTTAATGAGATCTGAACTCAGAATGAAATGCTTTCCACACTCCAGGCATTTATATGGTTTCTCCCCTCTATGACCTCTTAGATGCAAATTAAGGCTTCCACTTGAACAGAAGCTCTTTTCACACACTGTGCATTGATAAGGCTTCTCTCCTGTGTGACTTCTTTGATGGATGGTAAGTGACCTACTACCACCAAAACTCTTTCCACACTCCACACATTTATGGGGTTTCTCCCCTGTGTGAATTCTTTGATGGATAGTAAGTGACCCACTGTCACTGAAGCCCTTTCCACACTCCATACATTCATATGGTTTTTCCCCTGTGTGAGTTCTTTGATGCCGCCTCAGGTTCCCTTTCTGTCTGAACCTCTGTCCACAGTCCATGCATTTGTATGGTTTCTCTCCTGTGTGAGTTCCTTGATGTCTAATAAGATTTGAGCTCAGACTGAAGTTTTCCCCACTCTCCATGCATTTGTATGGTTTCTCCCCAACAGGAATACTGCGATGCTGCCCAAGTTGCCCATCCTGATTAATACTCCTTCCGTACTCCATGCATTTATATGGTTCCTCTCTTCTTTGCAGGCTTTCATGTTTAGTAAGAGGTGAACTCAGATGTAAAATCTTTCCACATTCCATGTATTCATATGGTTTCTGCCCCTTGCCTTCTCCTTCATAGTCAGAAAATGCTCCATTGTCACTGAAAATTTTGAGGGGGTCCATACCTTGATGATGTTTTGACCCTGGCTGAATTCTGCAACATCTCTTTAGTTTGCTGTCAGTTTCCTGATAACCAGAGGAATTTTTCTCCCACTTCTTGGTTTGGTTTCTCCTGTGACTTTTTGTTCCTTTTTGATTCCAAAATAGCTTTCTTCTTTGTAAATGCTTAGTAATTTCTGATGACACCACATACGTCTGATGGTTCTCCTTTTCCTGACTGTCACCTTGTTTGGGAGAGAAAAAGACAAATGATCTCCTGTTAGGAACATTCAAGACTGTTTGGACTTCAATGATAACTTTAAATCTAACCATGGCAGGCATTGTACAGTACTTCAGTATTGGCAACATTTACCTCTGTATTTAAGGAACAGAAAATTGTGTCCCTTTTACAGCTAACTCATTCTTATCTTTTAGTCAGATCTCAGTGAGTGTACATGTACTAGCACTCAGGATGCTGGATATGGAGATATGGAGATGTCAGTCTAAAAGGACTAGAGGCATGTGTTGTCCAAAAAAGGACAAAGAGCAAGTTCAAGAACATCAAACAGGGATGAGATAAACCACAGGCAAGAGTTCTTATCAAGTCAGAAAACAAGAAAATGCATGACATATTTTAGACTGTGCTATAGATAGACCCTGATGTTGGGAAAGAGTGAAGGCAGGAGGAGAAGGGGATGACAGAGGGCGAGATGGATGGACAGTGTCATCGAAGCAACCAACATGAATTTGACCCAACTCTGGGAGGCAGTGGAAGACAGGAGGGCCTGGCGTGCTCTGGTCCATGGGGTCACGAAGAGTCAGACACGACTTAACGACTAAACAACAACATAGATAGACCACAAAAGCTAGCTGGATAGTTCAGTGTTTTAAGTAGAGAGCCGGAAGTTGGGAGTTCTCCATTGTGCTTCCCAAGAAAAGAGCCAGCCTGTGTAGCTGTGGGCAAGCTGCACAGTCCCAAGGTGCCCCCCCAGAAAAGGGAAATGGTAAACTTACAGGGTCACTGTAAGAATTGACTTGACAGCACACAGCTATTATTATTATAGAGTCTATAGACCTTAAGACTTCTAGTGAAGAGTAATGAGTGAGGAGTGTCAGTTATGTAAGTGAAAAGCACTTTTGATGGAAAGACGAGGCCCATGAATTCTGCCAGTGGACTCAGCATTCCTTGAATCAGTGCGGCTGATCATTCCTAAACAGAAAAATTCACGTAATCTCTTTAGTGGTCCGACTCTACACATAAGCAGGTACCTGCCGATCTCCACTCTTCCTCAGAGTCCAGGACCAACAGGTCTTCTCCTTTTTCCAGACGGGAGATGAGGTCTGGTTTGGGAATTTCTTTTTTTAAAAAAGAGAGAGGTGAATGAGCACAGAATTTCCAGTGTTTCTAAATTGTCACAATTAGTCTATGACTTTTTCTCTTACTCGCATTTATCAATAACCTATGAAACAAGTCCTGTAGGAAATACATACCAGTAGAAAGAGGACCTTCAGAATAGAGTAGTGCCTCGCTTTACGATTGCCCTGCATTAGGATGAAACCGCATTACAACGAACTTTTGGCTATCGCAATTGTGATTGCGAAACGATGGTCTGAATGGGTTTTATTTCGCTTTGCGATGATCGGTTCCCTGCTTCGGGAACCGATTCTTCGCTAAACGAAAATTTTCCTCCAGCTGATCGGTGGTTTCAAAATGGCCGCCGAGTAAATAAAATGGCTCCCCGCTGTTTTCTGGGACGGATTCCTTGCAAGACAGTGACCGAAAATAGCCACCCTATGGATCTTCGCTGGACGGTGAGTTTCCAGACCATTGGAACGCATTGAAGGGGTTTCAATTCGTTTCAATGGGCTGTTTATTTTCGCATTACATTTTCGTTCTACAGCGATTTCGCTGGAACGAATTAACGTCGTAATGCAAGGCACCACTGTATTTACTTGATATTTTGGAGGGGAGGGTTGCAACTAGAGATGAAGATATTTGTATTCGTCAACAAATACGAGTATCTCCATCCCAGTTGGACCTAATGAGGGTCCACCACCATCACCACCCCCGAACTGGCCCATCCACTCATGCATCCCGTGGGATGTTGTCGGGCTTTTTAAAGACGACAATAAAATTGAGAGGAAAAGGTATATACCCAGAGAAGTGACGTTCACATAGTTCTCCAGCATGACCTCCTTGTGCAAAGCTCTTTGGCCTGGATCCAGGAGGTCCCACTCCTCACTGGTGAAATAGACTGCCACTTCCTCAAAGGGCACCAGCTGTGGAACGACATAAGAGAGAGTTCCCGCTCAGAAACAGTCTCCCAATACCTACCTCTGAGCTCTTAATAGGAAAGGAAAAGTAACAGACAAGTAGTTTTGCAAATATTATTTTTCCTTCTTCAGGATTCAGGATTTCAGGCAAGAAATACAGAAACATTCACAGCCTACTTAAATACCCACATTATGGCAGCAAATGTAATGAAAAGACGGGTTTTTCTTTGAATCCTTTCCACTCTCAACACAGATATAGGCCCAAGGGCTGCTCCCTGCTGCATCTCTCCACAATAATCCTCTCCTTACCTGAGGCAGGTGTAGGGCCGTCGTTTCCTGTCCACCACCAAGAGGAGATGATCCAGAGCCTGCCTCTTTTGTCTTCGCACTCCCTGTGAGACAGAAAACGGAAGCATAAGCTAGGCAATCTCAAGAGATTCCTGCAGTTCCTGCATTATAAAAAAAGGAGGGAGAGAAAGATGGGTCTGGGAAGGAGCTGACAAGCAGGGGTCTGTGGGGAACAGAGACTGGTATGGGTAGGAAGACTTCCAGTCATCATCATGATCATCATCTTCAACTGCAGAGCTGGAAGGGACCTATGGATCATCAAATCCAGCCCCTGTCAAGGAGACACAGCAGGGAATCGAGCTCCCAAACTCTGGCTCTGCAGCCAGAGACCCTAAACCACAGCTCTATCCAGCTGTTCTATATAATTATGGCCATCTAAGTTTCATGATTTTAACCCTCATAAATGAAGGTCAGCTTTGTGGAATCATAAACTGATCAGACAGATCATTTGTTTTATTCCTGTTCACACTCTTAGTTGTAGGAAAGTACAAAGGGAGAGGATGCGTTGTATTCTGTTAAATCCTAATTTGGATTTTGCCTGAGGGGGAGATCCTGTGGCACTGGAAAGCGGGAAAAGGGGAAACCAAAGGAGATGGCGAAATCAAGGCAGCTGTAAATGTGGCAGAATGCATTCAGTAATAATACTCATTGACAAGCTGGAATTTCTCTCTCTTTCTGTGTATGTGTGTGTGTGTGTAGAAAAATCAAAGAAACAAAACAAATCACAATGCAGCTTTCGAAGGAGCCACATCAGCCAATGTGACCAGACCTACACATAAGACCTACACAGTCCTTCAGCTTTGGGCTGCCAGCCTCTGCTTCGGCAGCTTCTTCAAGACCACCAGAAGCCGAGGTCTTAGAGATGGTCGACTGTTTTTCATTTCCATTGTCCTTTTCAATTTTACTGTAGCTTCTGTCCTTCCCTTCCACTGACAATTCTGCCCCCCCTTTCCTCCTGCCCATCCCAGGTCAGCAACGCCTTTTCTGAAAAATGTGGAAGGAGAACTTTTGCCATCATGACCATCATGATCGTTGCCATAGAAACGGCCTCATCACTAAGTAATGGGGAATGTTAGATTTCAAAATTAACCCAGGATAACGGTTCACAATCAAAAATGAAAATATTCCACTCATTAAATTAGCAGTATGGATTTGCTAGCCAAACCATTACTTCTGAAAGAAGCAGTGGGATTTCACCATTGATCCTTAACAGCACATTCGTTATTTATGTTGTTTCCTGCTTGCCTTCCTTTATCTGGTACTTTCTAAATGAATAGTCACCTCCCACAAACTTCCCATTTTCAGATGGGATTAGATCCAATCGTCCCTGGTTTACAGGTGCATCATGGGATTTGTGATCTCCTGGCCAACTACTGTATTTCTATATACATTGAATTTGCAATCTCCTGACATATTAATGTTTTCCGTGGGATAGTAACACAACTGAAAACTATAGACCTTCAGTTCTCCCATAGAGAATCCAGCTCCAGAAATTCAGTTAGACCTATGAAAATTGCTTTTAGCACTTAAAGCATTGTGACTAGCCTCTGACTCCGAGCAACCTCATGATCGCACAGACTCGTGTAATCCTCATTAAGTATTTTTGAGGCCAGAGGCCCAGCAAAGAGAGTCATTTCTTCTCTCCTAACGCTGTAGCCCATGAAGTCCATATGGAGCAGCTATTCAAAACTTAAATGATCACTTTAAAATTTTGCAAACATGATTCTGGAATGTTATGAATTTTCTTGAGGTGAACTATGGATTGGGTATGTGTCCTTTTTTCTTTTAATTTGCAACATTCAGAATTCTCCATGAATTCCCTGTGCATAATTCTGGGAATCTTGACCCCACTAAAATACCCGCAGACATTTTGTTTACTTGGAAGCACCTTTCAGACAGTTTAATGGGCATTGGGACTACAACTCCCTGGAACCACAAAAGGTTCCCTTTTCTTTACATCAACAACAGGAAACTAAGCATGCCGAAGGCCAAGCAGTGTTGGACATATAGACTGTATCTCCCATTATGAGCTGGTTCAGGTGTTAAGATAATCAGGGGAGGCCTTTCTCTTGGTCCCGCCACCTTCACAGGTGTGT